CCTGCTGAAGTTGTGCCTTGCCGAGTGTAGCCTGTGTACGTTCCAGTTCCTCTTGCGTTTTTTCCAGTTCCGCGATCGCCTTGTCCCGTTCCGAGTGCAGACGAGCCACCGATGCTTGTGCTCGATCGTACTCATCTCGGAGACTCTCCTGTTCACCCTGCGCGTTCTCCAGCCTGGCCTTCAGCCTGTACACCTCGCCCTGATTCTTCTCCACCTTTGAAATCGATCGAAAATTCGTATTTCGTACATTCTGTGCATTTCACGGAAATATTCCAAGGATAGTATATAATTCTTTCCCGATATTTCCACCAACTATATTTCTACCAAAATTATAGAATACTAACCTTCCACTGTAAAATAAAATTCGATTTATAATCGTACGATTATTTTTACTCGAGATATTTCGCTTCAAACTTACCCAAGGAATACTGAAAATTATTCTGTCCCTCACTGTACATCTTTTAATTTTATATCGTACAAAGAGCTACTAAGCTCGTCGAAACGAATAAGTAAATATCTGGAATTTAATCGCGTCGAGCAAAGCTATCGAATGTTCAACGAAGGAACCATAATCGAGGGATCGAGTATTGGAACGTGTAGCCAAGAACCCTTTAATTCCCTCTGCTCCGTGATTTACGTCCGCGAAATTAATCTCTAAAGTCTCGTATCCCTTAATAGCTGCACCGTCGGAGAAAATACACGCACGTCAGCCCCGATCCGTTATTAATATGGACCTAACGTGTTCCCCGTTCATCACGTCGCGTTAATTAAAATCAATTTCTCCTCAGCCTGCCGCAAGTAGCTACCCACGCTTGCATCACTCGTGTCTATTAATGTTTCCACAGCGAGCGATGGATTATAATTGCAAGGGGGGTTGAACAAACACATCGATTCGAATAATTAGTCCGAGAAAAGGGCTGGACGATGCAAAGATGGAGCCTCCCTCTTGGACCTGAAGCCGGGGCCAACGATTCAGCCAGCCTCACGGAAATTCTAGTCAGGCGTCTTCGATTCCATTCGAGCACGAGGCTGCGTGCAATTTTCCGGCCACTTAGTCGGCAGTTTCATTACCGGTTCGATTCGCGCCATCGACGGGGCACGGGAACAGCGACGATGCCCGAGAAGAACCAAGGAGTGATTGGAAATTAGATTCGACTACCGCGGCGTGCATGGGTCGGGACCAGACCGCGGTGGCCCGGTGAATCGATCGCGATTAAAGGCGATTGTTCTTGCTTCTTGGAAGCGAAACGAGGCTGCGAGACCGGGTCGTTCGTTAATAAACGCGAAACGACCAGCTACAGATTACGGGAACCGTGGTTCGGGATACTTGGACGATTAATTGGCGAATGGAAAGGCAGGTCCCTTGGCGTGTGCGATCTTTCGTCCACGCGATTGGTCCATCGATTGGACGATTCGACGAATGTTCGGACCAGTCGAAATCGAATTCGGTGGGATTTCAGAAATTTTATCGTTTAATTCCGGGCCGGTTCACGTGGTCGGCGGATCCGATAATAGACGGTGGCTGGTATATCCGTGGGTTTGGTAGGTGGCTGAAAATTTATCGGAAGCCATAAAACGGACGTGGAAACGGTACGTTACCTTTTCTTGCAGAGCAGCAGCCTCGGCCCTGGCTCTTTCGTTGTCAGACTGTGTGACCCTGAGCTCGGCCTGGGCCCTTCTCAGCTCCGCGGCAGTCTTCTCGGCTCTTTCCTGAATCCTGTCCATCTCTTGCGTGGAATTCAGCGTGCTTCTGCCGTAGGTGCTCTGAGACCTTTCGAGATCGTGCCTGAGCCTCTCGTTTTCCAGCTCGAGTCTGGTCAGCCTCTGCTTGGCAGCCTCCCAGTCGGCTCCGCTGCGACCGACCTCGGACGCAGCTTTGTCCAGCTCGGCTTTGCTCTTGCCGAGCTCCGACTGAGAGCTTTCCAGCTTCGCTTCCAGTCGATCCTTCTCTGCCTGGGCTCTCTCCAGTCGGGCGCCCAATTTCTCCCCCTGCCGTGAACGGGGTCCAGAAAGCGGCGTTAGTCGGTCGTTGGCCAAAAAGCGACGCGAAGACGTTCGGGCAATCGCGATTTCTTTTTTCTACCAGGTCGAATGCCAAGAAGTTAAAGTTTCATAGCGGCTCGAGCGGGATTATTGATCGTATCGACTGAAACGATGCTAAATGGGGTTTACTTTGGACTGCCATGCAGCTACGTCTGGATGCACGCTTGATAAATTTTTAATCGATATGCGCTTTGTCCGCGGCTACCAAAGCGACACGGGGTTAATAGGTGGATTATGGGGGCAAAGAAATATCAGTGGAACCACTGAGTGGACTCACCTCGGATTCCAGGGCGTGAATCTTCATTTTGTACTCAGCGATCTCTCTCTCGTGTAATTCTCTCTCTTCCTGTTTCTCCTGCTCTGCCCGATCCCTCTGTTCCCGTAATTGTGCCATTTGCTTCTCTTTATCGCCTATCGCCTCCTCCAGGCTACTCAGCGCGCCTTCGCTGCTGCAGTTGTGCGCCTGCATTGCCGTTAGACGCGCCCTGGCCATGTCGACCTGGTTGTCCTTCTCTTTTAGCAGATCCTCCAGATTCTCGATCTGCGGTCACAACCACTCGTCTCGTTAGACATCCCATTCCTTGCACGTGCAGAATTGCAGGAAAGCGGACGTTCCGTGGAACACGGAAAACCAGAGAAAATAAATCGGAGGAGAAAGAGAGGGAGAGAAAGATCCGGGATAACGAAGCTTCGTAGGATCGAAGCGACTGCTTCGAGTGCGGTTAATCGGATGAAAGGCTCTCTCTTTAGCTCGCGTTAATACCAGAGGTGTATTCGTCAAACCCGCGATAGTAATTCGTAGTCGAAGGAGCGTGCACAAGCTCTTAATGTGATCGTAAATTCTTACTTACCTGCCACCTCGTATCACCGATCTTCAGAGCCATTGTTCACGGCTCGACGAGACATTTACTCGGCCAGGCACTCGCGATATACAGCGACAAATAATCAACGGATCTCTACCGCGGGAGAAAAGAAACGGAGTCATATGTAGAAACAAGCATTCCGCGGTGCGGACACAAGAATGGTGAATAAATGGTATAGAAAAATGATAAAACACAGTGGGACGAAAAGGAATTGCCAAGCGACGTTCCGGTCGACGCGTCGGTAAGCAACGACAGCCCGATTGATCCATCCTTCGTCGAAATGACAGCCTTGCTCCGCGAGTTCCTCGATCCTGGCCGTCGTCGATCACCGACGACTCGAACGAGACGCAGATACATACGTGGGTGCGTTTCGCGGAACAAACGCGCGTGAGACATAAGAAAGAAATAAAAGAAAGGCGCAAAGTAACTTCTAACTGGCTTTATTTAAACGGGGCTGGGTACAAAACAAAATGGCCAACTTAAAGGGTTGTGCGAACTTAAAGATAACGGGATGTCGGGTTTTACGTACTACAGCCTTTACACAGCACGACTAGGAAAACATTATTACAAAAAGTGTGTCGCGCGGGCGCGCGCACGCCTCACACTCATTCCAATCGACAGCAAGATTCACACTCATGCGCACTCCGCGGTCGCATCCTACGAATATTCTACGCTAAGCGTGCGCTTCCTCTTTGATCCGGCTGGCTGATTAATCGCCGGGCCAAAATCCCCTACGACCCGGCGAAATTAATTACCACAGTCGGGAAATGGGCAAATCGCTCGACGATTCGCGCTTCTTTCGCCAACCGCGAGATCCACTGATAACGATACCATTACGTTAGCGTCAGCGTTACCGTTCTGCCAATGTCCGTTCGATCGATACGGTACCATACTCTTTTAATCGTTTCTTTGCAGCTATCTCCGTCGTGATCGTTTCGCGAAAGGTGCGATGATAAGGAGGACAGGATGACCAAGGTTTACTTCCATATTCGATAAACGATAAATTATTCGAGTCTCCGCGAAACGGGTCGAGGATCGGTCACAGAGACGAGAGTACGCGTTGCACTCGTAATTCCACTAGATCCGCGTGATTAATTAAGCTCCAATTCACACCGGTGGCGATTATCTCCAGGTGTTTAGCTATCCGGTCGAAGCGAAACGAATCGTCCCTCTGGAACCGCGATTCCATTCCAGTTGGACTCTTCCGTCCCGGGAGACACCGATCCCCGCCATTTCGCGCGGGCGACACGCGGCGAGAAACAAAATGGTGGAACAAAGCCCGAAGTTGGACGCTTGGCCCCTTGCAGTTGCTCCAAGATCCGATCTTTCAACTCGCATAGGCGGCAGCGTCGGGTGGAAAAATGCAAAGGCGAAGAATTCAAGGCCACTCACCTTTCGCTGAAGCACGTTGATCTTCCTGTCCTTGATGTCCATGTGATCCTTGAGCTCCGTGAGCTCCGTGTTCATGCGATTCCGCTCCTGTTGCGCCTGCATCGCGGCCTGGGTCTTCTTCTCGATCATCCGGTTCTTCTCCTCCAGCCGCTGCCGCATTTCGTCCACCTGCACGCACGTAACCACGCACACCGGGTCATCGTACGATCGTGTGCGGAGGTGGGAACCACCTCGAACGGGACCGATTCAATCCGCATTGCACGGGCAGCGTTCTGCACGCGACGTGAAAACGCTACCAACAGTCCAGCGGAGCGTTTGGAGAGGGAACGGCAGGAGGGTAGCTTTGCACGACCCAGTTTCCTGCAGCCTGGCCTTCCTTTCCCCTATAACGACCTCCCCTCGAGTCGATTTTCCCCAGCCTCAACCCCCTACATCAAGGGGCCCCTTCCCGTCCTTTGTCCGCCACTGCTGCGTTTATCAATGCGTTTAATGCTACCCAATGCTGGTTCGATCGAGTTTACCAGCTAGTTTACCAGCTTCCTGCAAATTCCGGAGCAAGCTCCTCCCGTTCTTTTCGCCAGAATCCAGGCTGCAGTTTGTTTAGAAGTCGTACGGTTTTATGTACCTTAGAATTAAGAGATATAGTTTACGCGATGGCCGGGCGGCTCAACTTTCCGCGTTATTTCTCGTTAGCCCGCAAACTTCTTCCAGTGGCTCCGTAAATTAATCCCTTACCGACCGAACTGTTTCAGGGAAATCGGTTAAAAATTTACGTCTCCTTTCATACACGAATCTCGATCATTCGAGTCGCTGTAACGCAAGAAATTTTATAAGGGCTATATTTCTTTCGACGTCTCCCGTCCCGCCGCGGGGATATAAAACGGAATAAAACTTGCTTCCAATCGTATATTTAGCTGCGTTCCTTTATAGCTCGAATTTAGAATAGCCACGACTTTCCCGCGTTCGATAAGAAAGCCGATACGAGCTTTCGCGGTGTCCGCAGGAAGCTCGTGTATGTCAAATTTGTATCAATTTTATGCACGTCAAAAAATCACAAATAGAAACCTATGCGACGCGGTTTCCGCTTCCGATCGCCCCAAGGTTCTTCGATAAAATAACGTGGTCGGAATTTCAGAATTTCGGTATTTCAGAATCGCAGAAAAGTTGATATCCGAGGGAACTCGATTTCGCATAAATTCCGTGGTTACGAGGAGCAGCGTGCGCCGATTTGAAAGAATTCTGCGTTAATTGGCTGGCGAAACGCGAGTTGCGGCGTCTTTCCGCGCAACTACGGGGAGGAAAATCGCGTTAACCCAAGGTGGAGGGAATTTCCCATGAAATGGAGAATTGGAAAGGAGAGCTAGATTCTGCGAATGGGATCTGTCGGGTCGTGCAAAGCCGAGAGACACGCGATCGAATGGGCGAAAGAGGAAGAGAACTCACGTCAGCCTGCAGCATGTTATAGTGTTTCTCCTTGGCGCAGAGCGACTCTTTGAGCACGGTGATGTGTCGCTGGTAATCCTGGTGCTGCTCCTCGAGGGTCTTCATCTTGGCGGACATGGCGAGCAGCTCCTGATCCCTACGCTGCACTTCCGTCCGGAGCTCGTCCAGCTGCGAAAAAGAGTCGTCGTCCACGAGAGGATCAGTCCGTGCGACCCGGTTACGTCTCGAACGACGACGAAACAACGAGCGACGGAGGCGCCTGGTCTGTCGTCTCTCCGTCGTGGCCGAGTACGAGGACGATCAGCGGCCAACTTCCCTTCGATCGCTCGGTCGAAACGTAAATCGGCCGTGAAACGGGTCAGCCGTTTCGCCTTCCGTTCCGATCCGCCAACTTTTCCACTTCCTCTAATCGCTTTGTCGAACACCGAGCCAGCCAGACTGTCAGGCTGTTGGTCTGGCTGGCTTTGAACTCTAAAACAGCGACGCACACGGCTTCCGTGGAGTTTTCGAGCAACTTGCCGCGGGTTTCCGCTCGAAAACGCGCAGTGTGCGTGACGGTGCATCGAGCTCGAAAGATACAAATTCGCGAATCGAGGGAACGAGAAGCTCTCGACGATCAGACGCAAGAACGATCCTCGCCTTGTTCCATGGCGAAACCGAGCATCGATATACTGAACGTCCGACGAGATGTTCGTTTGCACGATCATCGGACAGCTCGCGAACTTTGACTTTTCGAACGAGTTCGCGAGCTCGAATCGTTGCGCTCCTTTCGTCGATCGTGTCGGCGATGCGTCGTCGTACTCGGACAGGAACTCTTCATACTTAGCATGCAGCGATATCGAAACCAACGATACAAAGTTACAAACAAAGTGTATTCCTGCGTGTACGAGAGATATACTCATTACGTGTTCGAACGAATGTCTTTGGTGGATGGTGAGAGAATTCAGAGGATTATTCGAGGCTGGAGAGCTGGGAGAAGAACTGGAACGTATTATGTATTGTGTCTCTCTCTTTATTATTCGTGTACGTACCTACTACGCTCGTCTGATCTACTCTGGTGTCGGCAGGCCGCGTGAGGATCCCTCGGCGAGATCACCTCGTTACGAGATCCAGCCGCGGGATCGCAAGCAGAATCAACACAACTAAATGTTTTCTAACTAATCAACTAGCAGAGTACGCAGCATGGTGGAGATATCGCGGTCCCTTTTGGCAGAATCGTCCCATGATCGAAGTAAATCCTATGATAAAATCCGAGCGATCGGCGATCGGGAATTTCGCGGAAGAAATCGAAAATCGACGGAAGACGATCGGACACAATCTTGACAAATTTCCCGTCCGGTTACTTCGATCAGAGGCTGACTTTTCCAGCCAGATGCCGTGTACTCGCGTATCTCGGCCCAAAGATAAAGCACCAGGGATCGAGGAGTCGACGAGAGCCATCGGTGTCGGTCGATCGGCAGCTGTCCTGTCGATGGATCACGATCGAACCTCGATCCCCCCTCTCTCCAGCGTTCTATATCGTGCTAAGATGGTGAAAACAACAGGTCTACGTAGAGGCGAGCGATCGTGGCGATCGCTGTCGATCGGCAAAGCGGCGTCACGCATCGTCTCGGGTTCCTCGGAGTCTCTGGACGACGGCCACGCGCCGCAGAGGCAGACGCAAGGTCTCTACGTTCACTATGTCTACGATCGTCGTTTTCGGCTGCACACACACGCACGTACGCGGGAAACTCGGCCGAATTTTCCTGCCTTGTCTCGTCGTCAACGGGCAACGACGACGCGGGTCGTTTCCGCGCGCGTTACGTGAACCATTGCGAACAGTCAGATCAACGACTCACACCAGAGAAAGGGACAGAGAGAGAGAGAGAGAAAGAGAGAGAGAGAGAGAGAGAGAGAGAGAGAGAGAGAGAGAGAGAAAAAGAGAAAGAAAGAGACGGTTTCGGGGATGGCTGGTGAATTTTCGAGGGAAACTTCGATACCGATTGCCTGATCGTTGAAAGTTGCAAGATCGCGGGGATTTGGTCGGAGAAAAATTCTCGCGGGCAATTCCATGTCAATTAAGAAACTAATTTCCAAGTCAGCAAGTGGATACCTCGCTGGGAACGTAGTTATACAATTATCCATGATCGCGGGCTAAAATTTCACGGGAATTTGCCGAGCACTCCTGCCCGTTATAAAAGTTTCGAGTTCCCCGGAAACTTACTGGCCATCCCAAACAGTCTGAGCGAGAGTCAGAGAGATAGAGAGAGTGAGAGAGAGAGAGAGAGAGAGAGAGAGAGAGAGAAAGAGAAAGAGAGAGAATAGAAAGAGAGAGATAGAGAGAGAGAGAGAGTGTATGTGTGTAAGAGAAAGTGTTACTACGGAACATCGAAACACTCCGTTACATAATACGGTAATCACGTAGATGGAAACGAAGGATAGGTGGTGGCTTGGAAGTGCTTCTTTCTCGGGTGAAGAATATCCTTACCTCCTCAGAAAGCTAGAATATCGGGGCACCACATTTAATAATGCTTCGCTCACCACGAAGGCCGCCCAACTCCGCCTTCCTCTTCCGCTCTCAACGTCCTTCTCGACCCTTTCGCCGAGTAATTCGTCAAATTTCTCGTCCCTTTTCTTCGAACGCTCGAAATTCGGTGGAAAGGAACGCGACGAACCGTGTCACCGTCTCTAATCATAATTCCGGCGTGCCTCGAACGGAGAGACAGCGGAAAGATCCGCGCGACCACGCTCGATCGCGTCGGAATGGCTAGGCGCGAGGGGACGCCGGCCCCGCGAGTTTCATTCAATTTTTCGTCGCTTAATCAACAGACGAGAAACTTTCCGCTCGTCACGATCGAACGTGATCGGCTTTCGGTATCCGCGGATTTACCGGGCCATTCTTATTCCGGGCACGTACGAATTTATACGCCGAGCGTCGTTAAACGCTGCAACGTTATTAACGATCGCGGCACGATTTATCGGCGGTCGTAACTCCGCCGGTATAAAGGAGTCGAACGAGTTCAGCGGAATTGGGGACCACCATCCGTTGCTGACTTATGGCTAACTTAGCTCTAGCTTAACTGCTAATGTTGTACCCTTATATGACTATGCGGATGGTGAAGAGCGATGTTCGGTTCATCTGCGAAATTTTTCTACTTTGATCATCGATCGCGTGCATATTATTCGCGATACTCGTGTGTTAAATCCACTCCTCTTCATTGGCAGTGAACTAAAATAGGATGGAACAATTCGAATGAAAATTTCGGAAAAATTTAACCCTTTGCACTCGGCAAAGAAACATAGTAATTCGAAAACTTCCTGCCATAAAGTCGGCGATATTTTCAACACGGTAAATAAGAAGTGCAAATCAACGATAAGACGAAGAATTATTTTACCTCGATATTCCACGCGTCGTTGGGCAATTTTAAATTCGAGACGTTAATTAATAACGATCTTTGAAATCCGATTAAATGGTGACTCAGAGTCGCCTCTATAGTGCAAAAGGTTAAGTAGACAGGATCCACGGTATAATCGCGGAGTAATGTTTGACAGAGCAATAATTTGTTCGATCGTGAGATGAAGAGCAGGATCCACAGATCGGATGGAGGATCGCAGGTGAATCGAATCATCCTTCGTGCTTGTCTCCACGTATCGTGGACCCGCGAGCCAAGGAGACTCGCGACTAGGGCGATGGTGATCTGAACGATGATACGTTTACCTGATCGCAAATCGATCAACAAGACGACTGGCTAGATGATGAGAGATGCATCGAAGAGTAACGATACGTTGTCTGCGTGCATGCAGCATGCATCGGGGTATAGGGACCGTTTCGAGAACTCGCATGCGCTTTCTAATAGACTGTCAGGATTCATCGGCGAACGAATCGTGACGCGAGAGCTAGAAAGTGTCAAGCGTGATCGTACACGAACAAACACGAACAAACGCGACCAAACGATCTACGCGATCTTTCGTCGTCTATGAGAATTTCCTTTTAGCGAATTCGAATCGGTATAATATAAGATTAGGCCGTCGAAAATGGCGTGAAGCGAACGATCGAATCGCTGGCGAATTCTTTCCAGCGATTCCCGATCTTCACGGAGATTCCTCGTTGTCGCTGAAATATTTCCTAGTTCTCGTTTCATCCTTGGTAAGTCGTACTAATTCGTAGCTCTACTCGTGTATAAAAGTTAAAATGCCAGGTGTACAAAATTTTCCGTACGGTTGATAATCGTTCGCGACGATTCGCGTAGCAATTAGGCAGAGTAATTTCGATAGGTATCGTTCCTTGACTCTGGTTCAGCGACATCGAGGAATCCCAATGGAGATTAATGTGTCTGGATAACTTTAATTACTGCTACCTCGATTAAGGTGATACTAGCTGTGAGATATCCTACTTAATTATGAATATGATAATGCAAGCTTTACTCGGTTATCCGAGGATTACCGGATCGTTAAAAAGTTCCTCAAGTTCGGAGAAAGAAAAGGGGGCCATCTCTTAAGGCTGCGGATTTTTACGGTCCTCGGGTCGGTCCAGGAAAACTTGCATGTTTTATAAGAGACGTACCTAAACGTGATGTTGCTAAGAGTGGCAAACAGTTGTCTACTTCACCCTACTCTCCCACGCATGCATCATGCCTGAACGCTAGCTGCATTTGAACTCTACGCGACGAGAGAATGGCGAACGACGATGGACGTGTGATGAGAAATGCGATGATCGTGTCTGACGAATCTTCCGTAACATGATTCCCGACGATAACATAAACCTCCCGTGGCGAGCCTAAAAAAATCGAACGATCTACCAAATGAGATGATTGTGTCCAGGCTGACGATGACCCCTTCGAGCATGATCGAATGCGGAGCTAGTGAAACGAATCGACGATCGAGATGGAATGAATACGTGACAAACGAACCTGTGTGGACTCTACCGTGAGAAAACGATAAGCAAAGTGAAGGTCGATGAGGAAAGTAGATGAAGGATGACGAGATGATCGTTACCATAACCGATCCTTTTCGTGGTCCGTGGTCTTAATGTCTGTTCAGTGTGGTGACTGCGAGGAGACGAGTGAAACGAGTCGATGACATGGGTCAGCGGTGACGGACAGAGAAATCGGTGACAATTCTACTGGCGGAGCTACTGTCGAACACGGGACAAAAGTGCAGGGATGTCGATCGTGGGGTGTACAAGGTGG